TTTACATTTGATATTCAGTTTGTTTGTCACACATTTGATATATAACTCTCAGATAACTTCTCAGAGGTGTCCGGAGTTAATTTGACCTTCGCTTTGAAATGTGGTTAAAACATTATCACTGCAACGTCCGGAAAGATGTTCTTTTTCTGTAGATTGAAATATCAAAAGTGTTTGCCAATCAGTAGTGTTTCAGTGCTTGTGTTCATGCCTGATAACTTAATTAAAAGAAACACAAAGTGTGTCATGCACGTCTATAGTCATTGTTGTGTGATTTGTAGAAATGGAGGCCGAGCGTGACACTTATTCACTCCCTCACTGTTTGTCTCTTTGAAAGGAGAAAGTGATGACTTACACACACTCTCATACATTGTTCAGCCATATGAGTGGGCACAATTGTCTATGTGTAAGTGTGTGTGTGTGTGTGTGTGTGTGTGTGTGTGTGTAACTGATACGCTCTCTTACTCTTGATGTAATGGGGTCCTTATATTGTTTTGTACTGCTGTACTATTTGAATCATTGAAATATGGATGATTTTACTTCCTGCACTGTAAAAATAAAAATACAAGTAAGATTTTTTAAATATAACACAAGTGGAAGATAGTTTTGATAGTTTTTAGTGGTTAGAGCTAAAAGTGCGCCCCATGTATGGAGGCCATGGTCCTCCAAGCGGGCGGCCCAAGTTCGAATCCCACCTGTGGCTCCTTTCCAGCATGTCATTCCCTACTCTCTCTCTCCCTGATTTCCAACTCTATCCACTGTCCTATCTCTCCATTAAAGTCACAAAAAGCCCAAAATAAATCTTTAAAAAAAAAAAGAAAAAAAAGATAGTTTTGTCTGAAAGGTACTCAAAGCATAAAAATAACAATGTTGGGTCTTGGTATATAACAGAACAAAACGTAAGGTCTTTTGTAAAGTGTCACTGATAACATGTGTTATGAATCGGTGCTATACAAATAAAGATTGATTGATTAATTGATTGACCTTTGGAGCAGGTGTCAGACATGACTGGCACTCGAAGGCAAGGAGTTGAGAGCAATGGGAGACACTACATTAGTGTGATTTTTTTGTTTTAGTGTTTAAATGGTTGTTAAATTTTGTCCATGTGTGGGAAACTCAACATTAAATACATTTATTTTTTCAAGGTGTGTTTATAAGGCATATTTCCCAGCTGGACTTTTGGCCATAGCTCTTTATAGATGTATCTTTATAGATTTGGCCATAAATATCTTATCTGCTGGACTTACTGCACGTGATACCGGCCAATAGAAACCATGCACTGGGATAAGAACGCTGGTTTTACCATGATAAGAAGTTAACTACAGAAGATCTCAAGGAAACGGTTAAAGGCTTTATATGTGATTTTTTGATCCAGCAGATGTCGCCCTTGAGCACCAGCATGAAACCAAAACAACTCGCAGTGCATTGTTGTGTTAGCATGCTAATGCTAGCGATCTTTATTATGCTGGTATCTTCACACTGCATGTAAATTTACCTGAAATGAGCGTGATCTAGAAACACAGTTAAGCAGTGAGTACAGTATGTTATTCTTCTTTTCTCTAGTCCCTCAATTAAACTACTTTTATACACGAGGGGAGGAGTCAGCTGCGTCCTGGCGATGTAAACAAAGTGAAGATAGGACTCTGAAAACTCTGAAAACATCACAGACAGTGGGACTCGGGTGTTACACCCATTGTAGACAGTCATGACTCACAGAGTTATTTTCAGAGGATATACTTGATTTCTATTATATTTAAGTGTGAAAAATTGTATGTAAAGCCTTTAAGAAATAGATACATTTTAAATGTATGGATGCATGTCCGCTCAGCTCTATATATTTAGCCTCTCGTGTATTTTTACCTGGTCACACTGGACCACTGTCTATCCATCGTTGCTGTAAAGTTTTTCTTAATGATGACAGCTGAGGAGCAGCATCGTAAATGTTACTGACAGTGATCAGGCGACCGACTTCTTTTAACTCGAAATAGTCAACATTACAGACTCCTTAATGCCTCTTCTCTTTCAACCAAGAAACTTATATTTAAGCACTACACTTCTGCTGCTCTTCTCAATGTTCTGAAAAGCCTCAATTCAAACTTGAAAGCTTGATACAGTTTTAAAAAAAACACAGTCTTGGTTTATGCAATCAGCTCCTCACATGTTAACACAAACCATCACAAAACAGGATTTGGATATGTTTATATGCAGATGATGTCACAGTTTACTGAACTTTTCAGAAGTTTTGCAAAAATCAGAATATGTGAATACTGTATGAGTTTAAGGACAGCAGAGCACCAGACAGACGGGGGGTTCAGTCAGTTTCTCTCGCTTCAGTCATGAGAGGAGAACAGATTATTTCTCTGAACTACTATAAACCCGTCTGTCTGATCGTCTGTCTGCCATGCCGTCCTCCTGACAATCTAACAGATAGTTAGCAGGAGTCTCCTTCAAGGGTAATATCCAATATTTGGGTTTTATGCTTTCCTGCTACACACAGAGAGAAAGAGCGAGAGAGAGAGAGAGAGAGAGGAAGAGAGGAAGAGAGGAAGAGAGAGATGCCTTCTCGCTGACCTTATAGCTGAACTGTAATAATGTTAAACCATTTTTCTTTCACTTTCTCATTCTGTGTGTGCGTGTGTGCACATGTGTGTGTATGCGAGTCCGTGTGAGTGTGTAAGAGAGAGAGAGAGGGGTGAGATGAAGAGAGTATTCCAGAGGGCTTAAGGGCATTTCACAACGTTAAAGGGGTAGGTTTTCAATTACAGCTTGCGTGAGTGCGTGTGTGTGTGAGTGTGTGTGTGTGTGACAAACCTCCGAGGCCACCTACACCCCCCTCTGTAACAAGCTGCCATGTGCGCAGTAACACACACTTTTCACGACAGCAGAACTGACAGGATAATATGCGTCACTGTTTGTTTTTTCTTGAAACACGACATGAGACATGAGGATGTTGGCGTGATTACAGTAAATACTGGAGATCACAGAGAAATACATTTCACGCTGTATTGTGTGACACCAGGTGAGATAAGGCTGAAAAAAGACAGGTGCTATATGTGAAAAAATCAGGAGCATTAACAGGTTGTTTAAAATGGCAGAAGTTATACTTTTAGTTTGATTTGATGTTTATCTTTTTGATGCATTTCGATTGACAACACATAAACCACACATGGATCAATTCTGCCTAAAACATGCTCATGAGTGCACAGCCTCAGTGTGAGCAGGTAATGAATGTCAGTGATTCTCAAAGTGGGGTCCCAGGACCCCCAGGGGTCCGCGAACCATAGCTTGGGGGTCCGCGGAATGATTTACAAACAATTGTAAAAGTGTGCTATATATTGAAAAAGCATATCTACAAACTGGGACTTCATGCACCAATAAAATCAGCTGTTTTGTCCAATACTCCCGCCCACTTTAGTTTCGTGCCATGAGATCAATTCTGATATGATCGTGAAATGTCCGTCAGCTAAAAAAAAAATACTTATAAAAAAATCCCCGGAGACAATATTTTCTCAAAGTTTATCAAATGAATTACTTGGAAAGTATAAATGTAGCCTAATTATATCTTTGCAAAGTACATAGTACATTATTACATCGTATTAATATATACTAATTAACGTTATGATAATGAGGGGGGTCCTTGGAAAAATGTCTCACCTGAAAAGGGTCCATGGTCTAAAAAAGTTTGAGAACCCCTGATGTATGTCATCTGTGGACAGATTACAGGGCTGAGATGGGCCACAGGTACTTGACTTTAAATCACGTTTTTTGTCAAATAATTTCCAATATGAATTGCTTTACGGATGCTCCTCCTCAAGAGCCTTCCTAACTCTCTCTGTACGCTGTCACGTCTCTCCAATAAAGGCTTAGAATTGTAAAAAAAAAAAAAAAAAAAAGCCTCTCAAATAGATTACTGGTACACTACCCCAACTTTAAATATCCTTTGAGAAAATGTCTTCCTATGTTTGGAACTTGTTCCTGTTTCAATCCATGCAGCTTCTTGAATAAACAACCTTCCTGAGCTTTAACCTTAAACCCAAGTTTAACCATGCCATTCAAAAGTAAAATCTTTATTTTATAGTTTCACATTTAATCTGAGGGCTCTTTATCATGAGCGAACAATTATGGTGATGGTGATGGTGGTTGTGGTGGTTTTCTATGCTATGATGAGCTAATGTTTTTTTTTTAATTCAAAGTAAATTATCCTCATTATTGACATCATAAAATGAAGTTAAAAGCAAAAAACTGAAAGTAAAACAATCAATTTAAGAAAGAAAACAAAGACCTGCAACAAAAAGCGGTTTCAGCTCCATTTGTTTTGAGTCCACATGACAGCCATTGTCACTCTGTGTGTGTTTGTGTTCACTTCACTTACTGATTAATCCGTCATCCATCAATATCAGCTCCTCTCCGCCCTGTAAACACAGATACCAGTGACTGATCACCCTGATCTGTGTCAATAGTTAGGACCTGATCAATAAGGTTAAACACACTCGTGGCTCTAGAGTGTGAGCAAACAAACATGTTTGTGTGTGTGTGTGTGTGTGTGTGTGTGTGTGTGTGTGGAAAGTGTGTGTAAGTGTGTTAAAAAAAAAGGGTGGGGGGGAGAAGGCGGGCTGGTCTGATGTAACAGAGTCAGTTTCATCACTCGAGGCATCAGGGACGAGGAGGAGGAGGAAGACAAGAAGATACAGAAGGGAAGCGACATGAAGGGTCTAAAATGACTCTCTCTCTCTCTCTCTCTCTCTCTCTCTCTCACACTCTCTCACACACACACACACACACACACACACACACACACACACACACACAAACACACACACACACAGAGACATTGGGTGTCAGCTTCCATCAGTAGCCTGTGTGGCTGTGAGTTATGACCGTAGATATTCGATCATTTACACTCACTGCTGCAGATAGCCAGGGGCTACTGTTGTGTGTGTGTGTGTGTGTGTGTGTGTGTGTGTGTGTAAAGATTGTGTGTCTCAATCACACAGACGAAGAGGAACCCGAAGACAAACTTTAATTCAGATTTGTAACATTTGATATCTACAGAAATCTCAGAGAAATTCTATTAGACCTTGGATATTTATTAATGAATAAATTCATCCAAACAGTTGTTAATCATGACTATCCAGCACAGCAGTATTTATCAGCACATCTTTAAAAAGGGGAAGATACCCTTTGTAATCAATTTTTATCTTTTTAAAAGACTCTTGGAAAACTGAGAAGGCTTCTGGGTGAAGCAGAAAAAGGAGTGATCAAAACATCTCTGTTTTTATTTTATTTCATACATGCTTAAAAACATACACCAAATTCTCACTGATCCAGAGACTCACACACAAAAGGCAAACGTCTGCAAACATCCTGCTGAATGAAAGTTGCTATAATACAATGTTGTGTCCTCTAAATACTGATTATGTGTTGCTGAAGATGTGCTGGTTTATTGAATCACTCATTTTGTTCTGACTCTCCACAGTGAAGTCCATATAAACAGTCAGAGTTGATTTGTCAAAAATGGAAGCTTGTTTGGAAGTGAGGTGAAGGTTTGGAGCAGGAAATGATTTATAATGTGTGTAAATAATTCATGAAATTCTATTACTGGACCGTGAAGGCCAAAGACACCACAACGTTTTGTTTGTTTCAGACAGATCGTTGTAATGATGTAGGGATGTTAGGAGTGAGGGGCGGCAGTAGCTCATGTCTCTAGGCACCGGTTCAAGTTCTGGTACCAAATCTGGAAATTGGTCTAGTGGCTGGAGAGGTGCCAGTTCACTTCCTGAGCACTGCTGAGGTGCCCATGAGCAAGGCATCAAACCCTCACCAGCTCAGGAGTGCTGGCTGTGGGCAGCCCCCTCACTCTGACCCCCCAACATGCAGAAATTAAGCTCCAGCTTTAAAAACTACAAATCCCACTGGTGCATCCAACAACATGCTCTGTGGATGGAAAGTGTAGCAGCAACGTGAGTTACAGGAACATCAAATCGACTGAAGAGACAGCACACAATGTGTACGAGTCTGTTTAGCAGATTCTGCAGGTCCTGGGTCAGAAAACAGTCCTAAAGAAACATTTTCTTTAAAAATAGCTTTACATTTTTTCACTGTTATTCAAAAATAATTAAGTATTGTGAAAAAAGAAATGAAAGAAACAGAAATCAGGCCAATACAGTGTTGATAGTATATTTGTTATGTGAGCTGTGTTTATATAAGTTCAACAAATGAGCTGTGTTGGAAATCAAGGAGAATAACTGAACAGTGTCTCAATTCATGTTGCAGATTTTAGGTTTAATTAATTCTTTAAAACAAATATGATAATGAAAATCCCCTTTAAATCCAAAGAAAGTGTAGGAAATCCCAAAAAGCAGGTATACATGACACAAGGTTTCCATCCATGTCACTCTCAGGTTTTTCTGTTTGAACCTTTTTCCCCCCAGAGAGGTTTCATTTCAATTCAGTTCAGGTCATTCCAGTTCAGATCCGTTCAGCTCGATTCACTTTAATTCAGTTTGCTTCACCTTGGACATGGCTCACACTTCTGACAGCAAGCTCTGGTTTCCTCTCCATCCCTTGTGCTCCTTCCTAACTCCATGTTACACCATCAGCATCTCCTGCAGGGAGACAGAGAAGCAGCGTCAGGGAAAGACACAAGGACAGACAAAACTCAGGTGAGTGTAGATATAAAAAACTTAAGAAACTGTAACATCTCTAAGAGGTCTACTTTTAAGGAAATATGAGTTGAAAGTGGTTTTTCTTTCAATGTTTTTTGCTTGAAAACCATAAAAAGCATTGGTGGGCATATGAAATATTGTATTTATTGCATTGGCACAAAAAAATCTTAATTTTAACCAGTCATGTAAAAAGAAAATTAAGAAAAATGTAAATCAGGATACAGAACAGGAAGTACGTCTTCAAATCAAACCTGTGCGCTCACACACACACATGTAAAAAATTCAATCATGTCCCTGCTGCTGCCCGAGGGGAACACAGTGTGGAAGCCCCACTATAGTGGAAAATCACCTTTTCCATGTTATTTTACACAGCAGCGCACACACACACACACACACACACACACACACACACACACACACACACACCACACACACACCACACACACACACACACACACACACACAGTCTGTATACATTAACACGAGGAACCAAGAGATCTGATTTCCTTTTAACTCTTTGTGGTGCAGATCTCACACTGTCATGGGCCGTCTCTGCTGGAGGAGTCGGAGGGGAAAGTGATTTTTATACAAGCGTGAAAAAAATCTGTGACTCAAAGCGCTAATGTGATGCTGTGACAATGGTGGGTTTGGTGCTGGCAGTGTATCATCGTGATAACTGACAATACTTACAAATACCAACATTTGGCAGCTACTGTGATTAATTTTCACTAGTTGTGTCATAACAGGGTTGCTGCACACCTTTTTTTTAAAATCAAATTAAATACTTTTTAAGACCCAAACTTAATAAGTTAATATCATTTTCTGCCCAGAAGAACAAACTGTGAGGAACACAGCACAAATGTGACATACTTTACAATTTGGTCCCAATAAAATGATCAAAAACAAAAAGGAGAAATAATCAGAGGACACGGACCCAGGGTGGATTTTTGCGATCTTTTTATATGAATTGTGACAGGATAAGAGAAACTCAACAGAGTTCAATATACTAAACAGGAATATAACAATTTTAGATTCAAACAGGCTGTGCTTCTTAGAAAACTTCTTGACAACTTTACAGCGACAACCAGGAGGTCACAAAACGTGGTCAAGAAATAGTACCACTTCCTGATTTGTTTCCTTTTTTTGATGTAAATTAACAAACATACAACTGGCTTGGTGTACTATTCAGAGGAAGGGTGTGAAAACGAACACAACCCATTATGAGACAGTAATGTAATTAGTACAGTTTAACTCAGACTAGTCAACAAGTGTAAAAGTTGAGAAACCACACTCAGAAAACATTAAGAAAACTTGAGCTTGAGCAAAATTGAGCTAAATTAATAAACACAGCTAAACATGCGGGTAAGCAAACGTTGCTAACTTTAGCAGTGCTAGCCGCGCCAGCCGTCGGTCCTCCTTACAGGTTAACGTCGACACGCCTGTGCTGGTTACTCTTTGCTTCGGTCGAGTGGTTATATTCCAGTTTAACCTTACAAGGCCTTTATACAACTTTATCTCCATTGTCCAGATCAAAATACTGCCAAACCGCTCTGTGCTACAGGCATTACGGTAGTTAGCCGTTAACCCGAGCTACAGCCCCCTCATGTGGGGGTGCGACATATTATTACAATGCTCATGATGGATAGGCCGGGTCTTTGGAACATAACAATAAGTAAGGTATTTTACCTGCTTTTTGTAAAGTGTCTCGAGATAACACTTGTTATGAGTTGACGCTATACAAATAAAAATTGATTGATTGATTGAATTGAAATACATATTAATAGCACTAGTAATGGCACTGGTGCTGACTAGCTAGGGTGACGATGATTAATTAATAATTAATCGTTAAGTCGGCTCATTGCACACATCCCTCTTTTAGGTACATTGAAAAGCTCAAAATAGGCTAAATTAAGAGATGCTGGAAATAACTGAGTAAAACCCTTTTCACACATACAGAAATCTCCTGAAAAACTCTGGAGATTTGTCTACTCGGAGGTTCTTTAGGCTATGTGTGAACGCAAACAGCCGCATTTTTCGCACTGACTTTACCCAGAGTTTCTCCTCCAGACCTCTAGTATTTTATCCACAGAAAGTCAGAATGAGCTGATGTCTGAACGCTGCAGCATATACTCCGGAGATTTCAACTGGAGCCAATAGAAAGAGAATGATGTTTATATACAGTGACTGACTAAAGTGTCTGCACGCGACCTCTACGATCTCCGTGCTCTAATTAAACGTCTGCATTATGTTTTCTGTTGGTCAGTATGTTGTTCTCCTCTCTTTTCTGGATGTTGTCATTCCATTGGATTACACATAGCATTGATATAAAGACAAATATTCTCATTATAACGTCGTGTAGCGGACTCTGTTGCTTCAGCCGCTACTTCCGCGTTGTTTATTTACGTCACGTCTTACCTCAGGAAATCCCCCGCGGCCCCTCCCCTCTCACAGGGAAAGCCCCCCGCTGTGAGGAGCATATGTGAACGGCTAGGTCGGGAGAATCTCTGGAGAAGTCCTCCTGTAATTATCTAGATATTTCCAGAGTGCATGTGTGAAAACGGCTTATGTCAGGGGGAAAAGTCTTAAAGTTTAAAGGAAACAAATGTGATTTAAAAGCCTTTTTTAAAATATGTTTTATTACTTTGTTTACCCTCCATTCTGTCCATCTAAATGGGAGTCTTGTTAAACTTCCAGAGACACAATGCATAAGCACAAAAAGAGAAGCTGGCTATGATATGAAACTAAATCCCTGCTCTGCTGCTGTAACGGACATTTCAGAGGTCTGCGGTCTAATTCAAAGTGTCAAAGAGGAGGGATGTGAACGTGTCGAGCATCTCGCCAAATCACTGCGGATTAAACACTCTCTCTCTCTCCAGAGTGTGTTTAGGAAATTAAAGGCCAGGGATTTTTTTTCCTCATAATTGTCTATTTTATCATTTTATTACAGCTAGCTTTCCTCTGATGGGCTCCCTTTATGATTTATCAAATACAATTACTGCGTGACTTATTTCAGGAGCCTCTCCATGCTAAGGACCATTAATGTGTGTGCGTGAGGAGGAGTGTGTGTGTGTCAAACGTGTGTGAGAGCTCTGGTGTTTTTAAATAGCATTAAGTAATTGGAAAAACAAGAAAAAGAGGCAGAAAAGCTAAATTGTCTTTGTTGGATTATATCCCCCCCCCCCCCCCCCATCCCCCAAGTTTTTGTTTTTACGCTCCATTCCTCTGAGTTGATCGGAAAATATTCCAGCAGCTTCCAGTTGAAAAGGTAAAATAAGTGGGAAAAAAAATGCTTCAACGGATGGAGAGAAGCTAATTTGGAATAATTTAAATTTTTCCGCTGCTTGTATATTTTAAGAGAAGACGAAAAGGGGGTGTAACGAGGGTGAGCGATAGAAAATGAAAGAGAGAGAGAGAGAGAGAGAAGGAGAGGTTAATTCCATACCTTCCCCTCCCTGTTAATGAAGTGTAGGAGGCGTCGTCCTGGTCAGTGCGGCTAATTGAACAAGTGGAGATTACAGCAGCCGCCGCTCCTCTGTGAAAAGAAGGCAGTGTTCATTAGTAGTCGCCATATAATATTCATTCTCTGTAGAATTGTGTCGATGCTAATCTACGCAGAGAGCCACTGGGATGATTTTTAAAGCTCTCAACATGTACTGTGGTTGCAATAACTCAAACAATTATCATTAGAAAAATTACAAGTTTTAGGCTGCACTCTGCCCACGTCTTCAAGAGTCATTTGTCGATTAGTTTTTACTCGTAGTGAGCTTGTCATTCTTATTCTTTGATGCTTAAATATTTAAATGTGCTTAAGACATGAGTGAAGAACTTGGACATCAAATTAGAACTTATCCTGTTCCCCAATAGATGTCATCTGCCATGAAAAAAAAAAAGAAGCTGTATAGTTTAATAGACCCGCCCTTTTTTTTTTAAACTCAGAAGATCTTTCACCATTAAAGGCTTTATATGTGATATGTCGCCCTTGAGCACCAGCATGAAACCAAAACAACTCGCGTTGCATTGTTGTGTTAGCATGCTAATGCTAGCGATCTTTATTATGCTGGTATCTTCACACTGCATGTAAATTTACCTGAAATGAGCGTGATCTAGAAACACAGTTAAGCAGTGAGTACAGTATGTTATTCTTCTTTTCTCTAGTCCCTCAATTAAACAACTTTTATACTCGAGGGGAGGAGTCAGCCGGCCGTCTGGGCGATGTAAACAAACTGAAGATAGGACTCTGAAAACTGTGAAAACATCACAGACAGTGGGACTCGGGTGTTACACCCATTGTAGACAGTCATGACTCACAGAGTTATTTTCAGAGGATATACTTGATTTATATTATATTTAAGTGTGAAAAATCACATAAAGACTTTAACAATCTTAATATGTAGAAGACGGTGTGATCAAAATGCTCTAAATATATCATTGGGCACTAAACTGAACATGGCACATCTCATCAGCTCACGTCAACAGTGTGAAACTTAAAACTTGGTCGGTCAACTTAAGTCTTGGCCGGCACAAAAATCTCACAGCACAAAAGAACTTGGAGGTGTCAATGCACTGAATGTAATGTCTTGCAAAAGCTATCTTCATATTCTATTATGTCCCTTTCCTCTGAATGTCATTATGGTTCTCTTGTGTCCATACACCGTAGAAGAAGAGTGATTGTGGAATAAGAATTATTGCTTGAGTGACCGTCTATCCTATTTAAAGGACGCTGACTTAGTGATGAGTCAGTGGGCACGGAGCCTCATGAAGAACAGTGGGTCGGTACTTAACTGAATAAAGTGATACAGTCTGAATCAGAAGGTATTTTTTCATTAAAAAGGGGTTGCCAGTTTTTTAATATATGATTAAAAAGGGCATCCTCGTAAAATTTGGCGTTTCTTTGCTGCCCCTGGCATCTTGTGTTGTTTTTATGGATTTAATTAGAATCCTTGCAGTGTGCCACGATGCCCTTTTTTAACTTTCTTTCATTCTGAGAAAGGGTTTTGGTGAAGTACAGGGCATGTAATGAAGGCTGAGTATTTATTTATAAGAAAATAAAAAAATGGTATATCTTTAATCCAAACAGAACCAGCTTCCTGTCCTTGCTTATTTTTATTTATTTTATTTTTTTTATTTTACTGTAAAATATACGCTATGTATTATTTAATAGCGGAGGTTTCAAATTCAAATTCAAAAAACTTTATTTGTCCCCGGGAGGCAATTCAAAGGCACACAGAGCAGTAAATTAACAACAGTGCAGGTAGATGAAACATTTTAAACCTAAAATATAAAGTGTAAATTTAAATACAACTTAAAGCTTAAACTTAAAATGCAAAATGTAAAAAGAGTAGATATAAGTGGACAGTGATCGGACTAACAGATGTAAACAGAACTATGTGCAGTAAACGAGAAACAAATACATATATACAGAGCGTTTTTCAATTGGACGTGTGCTCGATAACAGGTGTTCAGGAGCCTGGATGTGACCCCGACTCATTCATCCAGTTTCCTGAAGCTGCACTTCCTGCAAATAGAAACTCAGTGTAAACGCAGCACGTCTTCATCAGGACAAAAACAAAACTCCTCTCTTCCTCTGTCACTTTTCTAACCCCAGCGAACCCTCTTCCATCCCCCCCCTTCGTTTGCCTATCCAGCTCAGTGGGACCCTCTCTCTCTCCCTGTCTCTCTACCTCTCTCGCCCCCCCCCCCCTCCCTCCCTCCCTTGGGGCAGAAGTAAACCACGCCTTGAGGCCCTGCACCCATTGTGTGTCCTCTGCTACTTCTGTTTGGGGCCTTTGTGTGCCGCTAATCAGCCGTGGGGCCATGCTCAGCCCCGAGTGTGTGTCTGTGAGTGTGTGTGTGAGTGAGTGAGTGAGTGAGTGTGTGTGTGAGTGTGTGTGTGTGTGTGTGTGTGTGTCCCTTGCCCTCATTACGTAGCCACACTGGGAGGCCAGCATGGGAAGTTTCTGCTGCACTCTACACCTCCCTTCATCCCTCCATCTCCCCCTCTCTTTTCTTTCCTTCCCTCGAGCTGTCCATCACTTGCTTCCTCCCCCCTTCTCACCCCCCCCCCCCCCCCCCAAGACTTAAAGCTGCACTGG